TCAACAGGTGCTGCAGGTTCAACAGATTCAGCAGGTGCAACAGGTTCAACAGGTGCAGCAGGTTCAATAGATTCAGCAGGTGCAACAGGTTCAACAGGTGCAGCAGGTTCTGCAGATTCAACAGGTGCTGCAGATTCAACAGGTGCAACAGATTCAATAGATTCAACCGGTGTAACAGATTCAGTAGTGGATGTTGCAGATGCAACAGATTCAGTAGTAGATTCAACAGGTTCAGTAGTGAATGCTGCAGGTGCAACAGATGTAGTAGTGAATGCAACAGATACAACAGCGGGTGCTGCAGGTGCTGCAGGTTCAACAGATTCAGCAGGTGCTACAGCGGGTGCTGCAGGTAGATTCTTCACTTCACAATGACCATATCCGCGTTGACAATTCTTGCCACACGAGCTGGTTTCTCTGCTACAGGCTCCGTATTTGGAGCAGCACAGATTGTCTGGACAAATGGTTTTTGCTTTTGGACCGCATCCAAAGTTACTGGATACAGGCAGATTTAAGATTCCATCGTTGCTTGTAACAAACGGAGCTGATTTGGGTAAAACTAATCATTTATTTACTCGTGAGTATCCCAATCAACAGTATATACAACCATACATATTGTTGTTTTACCTTGAGCGCTACAAACAGCGGCAAACGCCAACACGCTGACTTTAAGCATAAGCATGATGAATTCTATATGCAATCAATCAAAAATCCGTAGTTGAAATGGTTGACTGCGAACAATATCCTGATATTGCGTTGGGGATGATGACCATTTAAATGTGTAAAACACTGAAACGGTCACCCTAAATCCCAGTATTGTAACCGTTCAAGTATCCAAAATAAGCTCGCCCTTTTCCAGTGTATGCAGCCAATATGCTTTGACCTGCGCATTCAGGAATCTTAAATAGGGTTTTTGATGACCGTTGATAATAAGGGTGTGTGATCAGGGTTCTGGAGTAAGACAATGTCAATCAGCTGTGACAAAGTCGACAGCGGAGATTACCAACGAGTCGAAAACATCAAAATTTACAGTCTAAAATAAGCAATATAGTATAAACTGATTAGCCAATCATGACAGATTTGCTCAACAAGGATTTGTGGAGTGCAAGATGACACGCCAACTGCCAACCAAGTCAATCAAGTCATGCAAGCTTAATGACTGCATGTTGTCGGCTGTAAATTAATCTTGTTCGTATCTATAGCATCTGTTCCTGGACCAACTTATCCCAATCGTCATTTCTTCCATTGTGCTACTGCTGCTGGCTATACTGCCAACAATGGTGCTTTTCTTGGTGTTCCGTGCCGTACAATCTACGAAAATATGGCCGATCATGGAAACTCGTACAAGTTCTATTCTCCTCAACTCAAGTCTACACCACTGTTGTACCGCAATCTGCGCAACATTTACAACTGGATGAGAATCAAAAACATGAGCACGTTTTTTGAAGATGCCAGAGCCGGTTCACTACCCCAATATTCGTTTATTGATCCTGATTGGCTCAAAAACGACAACCATCCTCCAAACAACCTGCATGCTGGCGAGCAATATGTCAAAGACATATACGAAGCCATTCGTGCCGGTCCTCAATGGAAAAACACTGTATTTGTACTGACATATGATGAAAATGGTGGTTTTTACGATCATGTTGCACCACCAACTTGTGTTCCTCGACCCGACAATATCAATCCCGACTCGAATGTTGGAGATTTCCAGTTTGACCGTCTTGGTCCTCGTGTGCCAACAATCATCATTTCACCATATGTCAGCAAGGGTGCAGTTTATCACTCTGATGACACGAGTCGTTTCTTTGAACACTCGTCAATCCCAGCTACTCTCAAAAAACTATTTAACCTTCCCAACTTCCTTACACCGCGTGATGCAGCAGCTCTTACATTTGATGATGTTATTTCATTGAGCGAACCACGTACCGACTGTATTCAAACTCTTCCCACTGTATAATGCATTGGGTTATGTAGATTGTCATATACATTCATGGATGCAGTACTTGCCGACTGTTTTGATGGCAATACATACGCAACATGTATGCAGTAGTCTATTGACAGCATCACTAGATGATCTGATGTAGATCCGTAAATCTGATTGAATCACAATTTACCATGTCCATCATAAATTCAGAATCTCACATTTAATCTGAAATTCCCAATGAATAATCATAAACCCAAAACTATTTTTAATGAATGATTTATTTCACTTGATGCTATCAGTCCACATGCACAATACTTTTTAGATTGATTATAGTTGTCGTGGATAGTAATAGTATAGAAACCAAAGTAAAAAATGCATCAAACTCAAGCCAGTTTCTTGAAGTCACGAACACGATACCAGCTTTTGGGATTAGGTTGGCCCAGGCACTCACCAACGGTGACAAAAGTGTATCCGAGCTTACGATACTTTTGAACGATTGCCTGAATACCAGAATGGCCGTTTTCAACCCACTCATTATGAAGCGTGATGAACGAATGAGTCTTGGGACTAGCCCCACGATGGTGGCTAATAGACTTGTCGAATTCGATGACCGCCTGTGTACCTGGATTACCTGCACCGTCAATGTCCGAGTCACCGCTATCCACATTATGCGAAACGACAACATATCCCATTCCAACAAGCTGCTTGATCACCTTTGGTCCTTGTTCATTATGAGGGGTTCGCATGTAGAGTGGA